AGGGAGAACACAGCAGTGCTGCACTGCCCCAGTGCAGGAGAACACAGCAGTGCTGCATTTCTCCAGTGCAGGGAGAACACAGCAGTGCTGCATTTCCCCAGTGCAGGAGAACACAGCAGTGCTGCACTGCCCCAGTGCAGGAGAACACAGCAGTGCTGCATTTCTCCAAAGCAGCAGCCTGCAGAGACCTCTCCTCACTGGCACCTCTCTCCAGCAGACAATGGACCAGCAAATTATCTGAGCACAGAGGAGAAGCACAAAACAATCCTCAGGAATGCACAGTTTCTCCAGCACACACTCTCCCTTAGCTGGGTTTGTCATCTCACCCAAGCAGAGGGAGAAGGGGGTTTTCCAGCATTCCCACAAAGCCTGCTGAAGGCAAAGAGCATTTAGTCATCAGGCAGGAGGGGAATAAAATGCACGAGAGGCTACACTAAAATGCAGAGACAAGATGTAACTGCCAGGAGAATTATTTCATCCTCTCCAATCAGCTACATCTCGCTTCCAAATGTAAGGCACAGTCAGAAGGAAGCTCCATGTAATTTCTCATTTGCAGTACAAAGAAAATTGTATCAGTAGAATAGAAAGGAGGAGAAAGATAAAAACACAAAATCTATGGGAAAATAAAAAAATTAGGTCTACCAAGCTCCTTGCCTTTTATGAAATCAATTCCTGCCCTCACACCAGGACTGAGCTTTGGGGTACAATCCTGTTTAGCAATGGAGAGAAGAGCTGTAGGTGGGAGAGAGAACCAAGGAAATGGTCTTAAACATTATTGGTTGGAGGGAAAAAATAAGAGTCAGAGATAGAAGAGAATAAAGGGAAAAAGGCCCGGGTGCTCAGTGCTTTGGGGTTCAATAATTAAAAAAAAAATTAAATGGAAACTACAGCTGTTCTGAACTCATTTTGAGGGGGCTTAAGCAAGTCTTCACATCAATATGGAAACAAAACCTCTTTGAATATTATACTGGTTATCCATGGGGAGAGAATGCAAAATCAACTTCTGAATTGGATCAAGCATAGCTTTAAATGCATAGATCACAAAAACCATAGTGACTATTTTCATCAAAAGAAAACTTTCAGGTTGTTTTTTTTGGTGTAAGATTCTGCACTTGGAGTAGACAGACCTATCCTGATTTTGCATCCAACACTGGAAAATATGGTAGAGATCTAGAGTGATCTAGTGATCTAGAACATTTAGGCATGCCTTCAGGTCCAAAGTGAAATGAATTAACATTCAAACTTAAGTAACTGAAAGCCTATTGACAGAAATTCATGAACCAAAGAGACGGTAAAGAGCTGCTAAAGATCAGATGACCAATTGAAAAAGTGTAGAATAATCCAGTGTACAATTAAAAACCTCAAATAAGATAGAAAGCACTATACAAAACTTTAAAAATGCCTATTTA